CCCAAGTCCTTACCTAACCCGGCACATCTAGGTATAGGGGAAGATGTGACCTGCCCCCCTGTGACCGTGCTCAGGTCTAGCAGCCAATCAACAGGCCCATGTAGTCACATGACCAGGGGCATGCTATCACAGCAGGGGAGCAGGTAAGGCATATATATATATATAGTAGGTCTCTGTCATCGACTAACACATTGTGAGTGTTCACCTCATCTCCTGAATTTTCCCTCACTGCCGGATAACTTCATTGTGAAAACCCCGACAAAGGTTCTAAGCCAGAGGTAGCCAAACTCCGCCCCTCCAGCTGTGGTGGAACTACAAATCCCATGAGGCATTGCAGACACGACTCCAGGAGAGAGATGCTTCATGGGATTTGTAGTCTCAGTTGGAGGGGGCGGAGTTTGGCCGTCCCTGCTTTAAGCCTTTCCCAACTCATTCCAAAAACCCATTTGGCTTCTTTATAGTTGAGTGCGAGGAGCTGGGCCGGTCTTGTGTATGAAAGTGTCAGGATTGTTGCCCCGGACGATCGCTACACATGACTCATCCATCACACAGATAAAACACATTGTAGCAATATCATCTCTGCACACACCAACCTGACTCCTCATGTCATGAAAAGGTGGTAACACAATGACACATATCCCAACCTCTTCTTCTACATGTGTCATGGCTGGTGAAGGAATCTCTCCTACATGTGTCATGGCTGGTGAAGGAATCTCTCCTACATGTGTCATGGCTGGTGAAGGAATCTCTCCTACATGTGTCATGGCTGGTGAAGGAATCTCTCCTACATGTGTCATGGCTGGTGAAGGAATCTCTCCTACATGTGTCATGGCTGGTGAAGGAATCTCTCCTACATGTGTCATGGCTGGTGAAGGAATCTCTCCTACATGTGTCATGGCTGGTGAAGGAATCTCTCCTACATGTGTCATGGCTGGTGAAGGAATCTCTCCTACATGTGTCATGGCTGGTGAAGGAATCTCTTGTACATGTGTCATGGCTGGTGAAGGAATCTCTTGTACATGTGTCATGGCTGGTGAAGGAATCTCTTGTACATGTGTCATGGCTGGTGAAGGAATCTCTCCTACATGTGTCATGGCTGGTGAAGGAATCTCTTCTGTAAGAATCCCACCATACCTCCTTATTCTGCATAGTTTGCTGGAACCTCCACCTGCGTTTCAGCGCCTCTTTCTCGGCGCCCTTGTCCATCAAAGTGTAGAGAGACTTGCGCAGCATGAGGTCTCGGTCGTGGAAGCCCCACATCCCTGAAACAAGAGGCAATAACAATCAGGGCTTTGACGTGTTCTTTGGAGTCATGTGACATGTCATATTACAACATATAGACCCACCAAGGGAGGCTGCATGCAGCAAGCAGTTCCCATCTCCTGTAGTGGCCAAAGGAAGGAGCCTCTGGTACGACGGGTCCACCTGTATCCACCAGTTCAGGCGACCTGCGGAGACAGGAAGTTCACATGCGTTACGCATGTTGTGTGCAAACAACAAAACACAAGCAGAGGGGAACAGGACTAGTCGGCGGTATTGGCTTTAGGTTCCCCACATCTCATCTCCTCCCCGTTACGCATGTCTTACCACGTCTGGCAGTAGGGATTTGCTTCCCCAGGTCAGAGCCGCCCCCTGATGACTGGCGAGGGAATGTGGGTCATGCTGCAAAAGTGCGCTTACGCTTTAAATAAACTTCTTCCAAATAAAGACAAAATCAGCAGAACGTGTCCATGAATATCGGAGACTTCCAACGCTCAGCGTTTCCTGGAACATGCGTGTTCAGCAGAAGCAGGTTACCGTTATTACAATGTCACAGCGCTTCCGGCACAGCCGCCGACCCGCATTCCTGCGCGTGCTACGGCGGCGGCCATTACACTTTTATGCAGGAACTCCAACCGCAAGCCAAGAGGAGATATCGGGGGAAGGGATCCGCTTCACCCGCCTGGCAGAACGTCTCCTGGGGACAATATGGCCACAAAGGACCACTGGAGCCAAATGGATGCGTTCCAGAGCGCCAGCAATGCCACGTAAGATTAACCCCTCCCCCACACGTTGTCACACAAACTTTCCCCCCCAAAATCTGCTGAAGCTCGTGTACTTTCTCCAGCGACACAACGCTCAGGTGTGAACAACGGCCATAGAAATGAATGGGATTCCATGTCATGCTGAGCCACCTGAGTGTGAACTTACTGCACACATGTGGAACAAAGCTCACCATGCTTCCAGAACATACATGACTCTTGTATGACGACAATGTCTGCTGCTCCCGGAACTCACACATCAGAAACATTCGTTACAAGAAGCTTTCACATCATTCTTTTTGGGCCTCCGTGTGGTCACAGACGTGCCGGTGTTATCAGTGCCGACTTGGCACTTCCTGGCTCAGCAACTTCTTCATTGTTGTGGTAATAATGCCAACATGGCGGCCAAAGCAAATACCGAGAGGAAACCGCCGGCAACGGTTTGTGATTCTGTCAGCCCGGCAGTCTGTGCGGTTCCATAGAACCAGCGAGTGTCAGAGGGGATGAGAAACAACATGGAGGAATAAATGTGCTCTCCTGAACTGTGATCCCCCTACACCCCCCAGTATAGATCATGTGACCAGCACTCCTACATTTGGTCATGTGACACACGACATTGGGAGCAGATCTGACGCATCGGTTTCATCAGGAAAGGTATTGTGAGCGCTCAGATCAGGTTACAAACATAGTTCATTTGAGCGCTGGCTCTTTAAATCACATCAGAGACAAACTCGTGGACTGTAAGATCCTTAGATGTACGAATAAAGATTTCTGAAGACAAAAAAAAAAGAAAAAAACCAGACAGAAGTTTCATCAGGTTTTGTGTGCGGCTCTGGAGTCTGACTAATTACCCAGCAGCCATTGCTCTGCCCCGGTGACATCACCCTTGAAGAATCTGCAGGTTGGGTGTCACCCTCCCCCAGCAATGGAGATTGATTTATCAAATATGTGAAATTCCGTTCCCGCTATCCATGTACGGCCCCGATCCGTACAACGCCGGCCCCGATCCGTACAACGCCGGCCCCCGATTCACGCAACGCCGTCATGATCTGTAGAAGAGTGACTAATACGGAGAGAAGATGAAGAAACATGGCCAACAAATCCTGCCCGGTATCCGGACCGAAGACTTCCCCCAAAGACTCAACTTCTCGGTGACAACCAAATAATCAAATCTCAGAGAAGCGTTAAACACATTCACGTCATCGCCAATCCTTGTAAAGCTGCAAATGATCCGTGGTGATCCTGCCATGGCGGTCCTTGTTTCCTATAACAGGAAGTGCTTGGGCACTTCCTATTACAGGGTGACAACTGTCTCACTCCCAGTCCTGCTCTTGTGTGTTCACTCTCTCACACGGGGCTCAGATAACATTATGCGGCATGTGCTCTGTAGTCTGCTTTCTTGCTCCTCCCAGCGTTTCCTGAGCCCTGCGTTTACATTTCTCTTCGTTCTGCGGCTTGTGATCCCGATACGCATTCTTCCCGTCACATTGAACTTCGGTTTGCCACGACCTGATGATTTGCATAATGGAACATTTCATCACTTATCTCCGTTTGGAGGGTCATTATGTCGGCCTTTTGCTGATCTAAGGATCTGCACCTTTCACACGTCCACGTTTTGGACTTCTTGTTTATTTTGTGTCTGTTTTATGATGAATAAAGATCTTGGAATTAAAAAACCCCATTATGCCGGCATGGTCCACTGGTGTCACCATCAGTAAAATCTCCCGCCTCCACCTTCCCAAGGAGAACATGTAGACAAAATAGACTCAAAGAGGCCGCAGGAGATGCAGCAAAAATGGTGACAACACACAACAAAAAGGTAACAATTTATGATAAATAGCAGATTTGGTTTTTCCTGTCTGGTAAATGTTGTCAATAGAACAGGAAGTGAGGGGAAATCTGTTTAATGGAGCCCCAGATAGGAGTAAAGCGTCTAATACATGGCCAGAAAAATCAGTTTACCTTCCCTGCCACACATGGCCATGCTCTGTAACAGAGCTGTGTAAATGTCAGGACTGGGTGGACAGTAAACATTATATATGTATCTGGCGGTGTGTCAGGAGTTCGGCTTTAATACTTCTAGCAGAAGGTCTGTAGAGAACTCACCGGCATGCTCCAAGGCCACCAGCATGGACTGCTCAATGAGATCGTGCTCGATGAAGCCGCGGAAGTCATCACTGTACACGGTCAGGTCAGGCAGCTGGAAGGTGCACAATGGCATCTCTAGTGGATGATCGCCACTGCCATTGGTGGAGACATGCGACCGGGCCAAGGAAACAATGGACGAGCTGGCATGGGAGATGCCTCTAGATAGGCGTTTCTCTGAAGGACAGAAGAAGAGAGACAGTGTAAGTCATGATAACATCTGCATGGAGGATGTAGGCAGCCATGTTATAGGAAGGTATATCATTGTCTTTCCAACGCTTAGAACATAATTGCTCTTTGATTTTGTCGTGCTACTATATACTATAAGATGTCCTGCTACTATAT